TTTTTTTTTCTTTTTTTTACTTTTAAGATCAACTTTGACAGATCAGAATCAGGGAACGTTTTCATAATGGACACTTCATCCAAAGAAAATACCCAGTTATTCTGCAAAAATTCAGTGCAACCTGTTGGAAGGCCTTCCTTTAAAACAGAATATTCGTCCTCAGAGGAAAAACAGCCATGCTGTGGTAAACTAAAGGTAAAATACAAAGAATCAGGTGGAGTTGATGCTCTTGGCTTCCTACCCGGATATCTTGTATATACTGAAGTTAGAAGCAAGAATTTTTTTCCTTTTTAAAAAGTGATCTTAGATACAATTTACTAAAGCCACACTTTGCCAGTATTGAAAGCAAGCTCTGCCTGACTATTTAGGCTAAGTAACATTTCTGGGATCATTTTAATGTTCCTCCTCAATAGAAAGGAGAAATAGAGTAGTAGCTAACGTTTATTAAATTTCAACCATGTACCAGATATTGTGCTAAGCACAGGTGTAACATACAATCTGTAAAACATGCACATTATCCCATTCTGTAAATGAACATTTTGATTTTCATTGCTACACAGTAAGGGACAGGGTGGTTTTTAAATGGTGTTCTGTGTGGACTGCAAGTTCCTCTCATACCAAATATTCATTCAACAAATAATTATGAGTTTTTCTTCATGTAAATGCTAACGTGCCCTATGGATACTCCATCCCAGACCCATGTCTAACAAAACACATAAGCCAGATATCAAAGAAAAAATTTTTTCATTGAGAAAGAATTTGAGTATGAATTTAAAGTGTATGAAATTAAACTGAAGGAGTAGGAGTTGCACTTTTTCAGTCTATTATGTTCCCTGCTGGTCCGTGTACCATGGCTGTGAAATATATAATCACATGTGCTAGACTTGTGATAAGATGCCAGGCATTTGGCCTGTGGTTTTCATTTGTTTTATTTTCTTACCTGTGAATGGCTCTGTCCTTTCTTTGCCTCACTATACATAGAATCTTCTTATCAAAATGAGAGTCTTTTAAATGTCCTTTAAGGGAAATGGAAGAAAGGGAAAAAAGGAATTCAACAACATAGTTTTGAATGGAAATCAACATACATTTCAAATTCCAGGAGAATTTGAATTTTTGGTAATCTACATGAGCTTGAGGCTGAAGGAAACCTAAAATGGTGCTTGCATTAAATCTTCAGTGATAACAAACTTGATGTTATACATTGTTTTATATGTTTTTGTTCATTTGTTTGCAATTGTGTGTCAAGCTGGAGTTAGGCTTAAGTGTGACCTGTCATATTTTCCAGGTGTTCTTGGGTGCCTTGTCTTTCGTTTACTTTGCCAAAGCATTGGCAGGAGGCTACCTGAAGAGCACCATCACTCAGATAGAGAGAAGGTTTGATATCCCTTCTTCACTGGTGGGAGTTATTGATGGTAGCTTTGAAATTGGTAGGTATTGCAAATGCCTGACCTTCCTTTTCAGCCCAGCGTCTTCTAGGCATGGCTAAACAACATCCTTTCTGCATTCTGTTGTCTGCTGGGGTCTGACTTTATTTGTTAAATCTTGTTTGGACAGAATCTACTATGACCATATGCTATAGTAGAGACAATTTGCTCTCTCACAGCAACCAACAATAAATTTCCTGCCCCAGGTGTTCACTACTGCATGACTCACACAATTCAGTTACCAGTCAGAATGAGAGATTTGCCTGGAGGAGAGGGTGAGATGCTGATGGGTATACTGAGTTATAAATATGTGGGAAGTGTCTTTAGTAGATTGATTTATCCTGGGAGAATTCAAATGGACTCTACAAAAATTTATTTTAATGATTTAAGAAGTTAAACCATAATAGGGGTTTTCCGTCCAAAAGAAGAAAAAAAAAGATTCTATTAATTCAAGCACTAGATAAGAGAAGGCAATAAAAATTCTATCAGGTGTCTTTGTGTTTTTGATTAGCAATTGACTATACAGTCTTCCTCTTAGAACTTCAAAAAACCAAGTAATTTTAGTCACTGTTTTGGAGATACTTTAAAGAGGGTAATCCCAGTTAGTCTGCGTCCTGAATTGATAAACTAAGAGGCTTGAATTTTTTGTTGAAGTGAACAAAACATGAGTACTACTCTTTGTGATCCTTAATGTCTCTAAGGACTCAAATACATGCTATTGTAAAATCTCTAGCTCCAATTTCTTTTCTTTTTTGTCCTTTTTTTTTTACTGACCGGTAACGGGATCGCAACCCTCGGTGCCGTGCCCGCACCGTGCTCAGCCAGTGAGCAGGAACCGGTCTCCACATGGGATCCGAACCCTC